TTGGGTCTTCGTTTCTGTGCGAGGGCTTTCTCTAGTTGCGGCAAGCAGGGGCCACTCTTCATCGCGGTGCGTGGGCCTCTCACTATCGCGGCCTCTCTTGTTGCGGAGCACAGGCTCCAGACATGCAGGCTCAGCAGTTGTGGCTCACGGGCCTAGTTGCTCTGCAGCATGTGGGATCCTCCGAGACCAGGGCTCGAACCCGTGTCCCCTGCATTGGCAGGCAGATTCTCAACCACTGCGCCACCAGGGAAGCCCCTAACCAGCTTTTTTAAAGGACTTTAAAAAGTTCTAAACATGGAAAAATTCACTTGTTATACATGGAGCGCCTGCTTTGAAAGGCAAATAAGATTTAAACAATGTATTCAAGCCAAGAGAAATTTGGGGGCCTAGCTGTCATTGCCTCATACCTCATGCCATGAATTTTGCAAGTCCAGTTTACCACATGGTGGGATGGAGAGAGCAATGAAGATTATGAATTTCCTCTGTGCTCACGCCTTTAATCATGAGCAGTTTAGGAGCTGTTTAGAAGAGATTGATCCCAAGTATGGAGATTTACCGAGCTGCCATCTCCAATCAAGGACTTTTTGGAATGAGTCCCCAAGTCCAATTTGTTAGACTTCCAGTGATTCACAAGCTTATATTTTCTTATGGATGTGACAAGACATCTGAGCACATTGAACTTGAAACTGCAGGGGACAAACAAAAGCTCTGTTGATTTGTTCAAGGAAATGCAGACTCCAACTGGACATGTGGATTGGGCAGATGGTGACTGGAAATCCCTCATTTTCCATCGCTGAGCCTTCTTGAGTTCAAGGCATTCATAGATTTTGAAGAGTTCTGCACTATATTGGTGGAAAATAAGTCACCATTGTGCGAAGATCCCTTCCCTGGGTGCAAGGGGAGGGGTGCAGAGGAGAGTTTAGACCACAGGATCCTGAGAACCCAGGACTGGAGGAAGGAGCCTCTTACCTTAGTCCAGATACGCAGAGTCAGGCATCTGTAAGCCAAAACAGCAAGAGCAATAACAGCAGGGTCAGAGGCAGCTTCCAGGCCTGGGCCATGCTTGGCCGGTGCCAGGAATTATTGATTGTCCTGTATTTCGCGTAGCCCGGTAGGATGCAGAGGGCCCAGGGGAGTTTAAGGCACAGTGGTGAGGTGGTCAGAAGAGGCTGATAGGTTTTATTTTTCTCTAGTATAATAGGTTTTTTTCCTGGCCAATGCCACGCAGCATGAGGAATCCCAGTTCCCTGATCAGGGATCAAACCCGTGCCCCCTACAGTGGAAGCACGGAGTCTTAACCACTGGACTGCCAGGGAAGTCCCTCTAGTATAATAGTTTTTGTTTTTTGGTTTTTGTTTTTTTTTTTGCGGTACGCGGGCCTCTCACTGTTGTGGCCTCTCCCGTTGCGGAGCACAGGCTCCGGACGCGCAGGCTCAGCGGCCATGGCTCACGGGCCCAGCCGTTCCGCGGCATGAACTCGTGTCCCCTGCATCGGCAGGCGGACTGTCAACCACTGCGTCACCAGGGAAGCCCTAGTGTAATAATTTTAATGAGATATAATTCACACACCACACAATCCGTCAGGTTCATAGGTTTTGGTGAGCACACACAATCCTTTAATTTCATAAACAAACAAAATATACTTTATTTTTTACAATTTTATGTATTTATTTATTTATGGCTGCGTTGGGTCTTCGTTGCTGCGCGCGGGCTTTCTCTAGTTGCGGCGAGCGGGGGCTACTCTTTGTTGCGGTGCGCAGGCTTCTCATTGCAGTGGCTTCTCTTGTTGCAGAGCACGGGGTCTAGGCGCACGAGCTTCAGTAGTTGTGGCGCACGGGCTTAGTTGCTTCGCAGCATGTGGGATCTTCCTTGACCAGGGCTCAAACCCGTGTCCCCTGCATTGGCAGGTGGATTCTTAACCACTGCGCCACCCTGGAAGCCCCAAAATATACTTTAAAAGACAATTTTATGACTGTCTTGGGAGTACAGGCAGTATTAGGTTGTCATTTATTCATTTATACTTTGCTTACAACTAAATTTTCAAACCCACTACTAGTGTGTGTCAACGTTCAGCTCAGTGAACTGGATTCACCCAGAATTTTGCAGGTGAACATTATCCCAACGTCTTAGGTTGGATGGCCAAGCTCTAGACAAGGTTAAGTAAGGTCCTCCTGATGCAGCTTAGAGTGTGTTCTCTTTCTTAAAACTGCCAAAATTGAAGCCCGCATCAAGAGTCTGTCTCTGAAGTCAGCATAAGACAGCCCCAGACTGAATTAGGTCTCACTGTTCCAGGTCATTTTGTTAAGTGTCAGTGTTCTACTCTTATTGTTGAATCAATCAAAACTGACCAACGACCAACAGACTTACAAATGTGCGCTTTTGAATGAATACAGTTGGTTAAACTTTTGGGGGATGCTTTTGTATTACTGTCTCTACAGTCCATATAGTTGACCAGCCAACAAGCCATATTTCACTATTACTATCAATGTATGCAGCCTGTACATATCTCCATCTTTTATCATGTGACCTACAATGGAAAAAATGTGGATGCCACAACCCAAGCAAACTTCCCTAAAATTTCAGTTCTCTTATCTAGATTTGTGATCAGAACTACATGGCAGGGGACTTCCCTGGCAGGCCAGTGGTTAAGAATCCACCTTCCAATGCAGAGGATCTGGGTTTGATCCCTGGTTGGGGAACTAAGATCCCACATGCCGAGGGGCAACTAAGCCAGCAAGCCACAACTAGTGAGCCTGCGTGCCACAATGAAGAGCCCATGCATGGCAGCTAAGACCCGACACAGCTAAATAAATAATTAATTAATTAATTTTAAAAGAAGAACTGCATGGCAGGCCATTTAAACCTGTCATCTCTGATAATGGCTTAGCTAGTATTTTCTCTCTGTTGTTTATGGAGGACTGATCCATTTATTTTGGAAACCTATAGAGGAGGTGGTTGGTAGATATTCTGTTACGAAAATTGAGAAGCTCGACCTCTGGTCTCACCTAAATGGAAGGTCATATGCCTTCTGGAGGTGGGCCATGAAGCTACTTATAGTGAAGCCCAGATCTTCCTCAGGAAGCTACTTTGACTATTTGCCAACAGGTCAAAAAACACTGCGTTCTGTCCCTGAGTTCTACAATATGGAGCATGACATTAATCAATAACCTGCCATAATCCTAGCAGAACCTCTGTACTATTCCAGCTCAGCAAAGGTCACATATGTCCCCTCCAAGGAGTGGGAATGGGGCATTCCATATAAAAGCAAGCTTCCAGAAAGGGTGTTTGTCCTTTCTGCTAAGATCTTACCTGCACTTGAGGCATGCTTATTTTTGCCTTGCTTACTTTTTTTTCAAATTTTATTGAAGTATAGCTGATTTACAATGTTGTGTTAATTTCTTCTGTACAGCAGTGACTCAGTTATACATATACATATTCTTTTTCATATTCTTTTCCATTATGGTTTGTCACAGGATACTGAATATAGTTCCCTGTGCTATACAGTAGGACCTTGTTGTTTGCTTACTTTAAAAAGTACTTGCTGGGACTTCCCTGGTGGCACAGTGGTTAAGACTCCGAGCTCCCAATACAGGGGACCTGGGTTTGATCCCTGGTCAGTGAACTAGATCCCACATGCATGCCGCAGCTAAAGAGCCCGCGTGCCGCAACTAAGACCCAGTGCAACCAAATAAACAACTAAATTTTTTTTTTTTTTTTTTTTTTGCTGTACGCGGGCCTCTCACTGTTGTGGCCTCTCCCGTTGCGGAGCACAGGCTCCGGACGCGCAGGCTCAGCGGCCATGGCTCACGGGCCTAGCCGCTCCGCGGCACGTGGGATCTTCCCAGACCGGGGCACGAACCCGTGTCCCCTGCATCGGCAGGCGGACTCTCAACCACTGCGCCACCAGGGAAGCCCTAAATATTTTTTTTTAAAGTACTTGCTCTTCAAAGTCCCCACGCCCCATGTCTCTGCAGGAGAATGAAAGGTTCTTAATTCTGGAACCTACTCCCCCACCTGCAATATACACATCCATGCTCACCCTTGTTTTTTTTTTTAATTAATTAATTTAATTTATTTAGTTTTGGCTGCATTGGGTCTTTGTTGCTGCGTGCGGGCTTTCTCTACTTGTGGTGAGCAGGGGCTACTATTCGTTGTGGTGCGCGGGCTTCTCATTGCAGCGGCTTCCCTTGTTGCGGAGCATGGGCTCTAGGCGTGCAGGCTTCAGTAGTTGTGGCGCACGGGCTTAGTTGCTCCGCGGCATGTGGGATCTTCCCAGACCAGGGCTCGAACCCGTGTCCCCTGCATTGGCAGGCAGATTCTTAACGACTGTACCACCAGGGAAGCCCCACCCTTGGTTTTTGACTCTAGCTCAAGATAATGGACTCACACCACTGGAACCCACCTCTGAACCTTTGCTGACCATCTGGCATTTCTCCACCCATTTCTGGTTACTAGTGTTTTCTTCTTAGACCTCAGCTTGATGAGATGATCATTGCCTTTGTCTTGTTCGCCCAACTCCTACTGCCATTCAGGCCTCAACTTAGTTATCACTACCTCTGGAAAGCCTTACTTAATTACCAGAATTAGGTACCCATCCCCTGAGGGCCCCGTAGCATCCAGTGGTTCTCTTTATCACGTTGTATTATAATAGCCTGTATGTCTTTCCCTCCACGCCCACCTAGACTGTAAGTTCCATAATAGCACTTGTTCACTGCTGTATCCCCAGCGTTATGTACAGTGCTCTGTAAACCTTTATTGAATAAACAAATAAGTGAATTCATTCCACTGGCTTCCCAACCCTGGAAACCCTGGCCGTATCCATTTTTTTTTCTTTTCTTGCGGTACGCGGGCCTCTCACCGTTGTGGCCTCTCCCGTTGCGGAGCACAGGCTCCGGACACGCAGGCCCAGCAGCCATGGCTCACGGGCCCAGCCGCTCCACGGCACGTGGGATCTTCCCGGACCGGGGCACGAACCCGTGTCCCCTGCAGCGGCAGGCGGACTCTCAACCACTGCACCACCAGGGAAGCCCTGGCCGTATCCTTGACTTGATCCTGCAGCTGGTGATTGACACTATGGGATGTCTGATTTTAAGTAACATGAATTACCCATGAGCAGGCTTGGTTGAATTAGCTGCAAGTCAATATGGCCTGAGGTGAATGAATCTACTTTATCAAGTTATTTAATATTGACCAGTTGAGTATGGAAAATATGTGCTAAAGTCAATGGTTACAATTTTACTTTACTTACTTCTATTAGGAGCAAAATACTAGGTCTGATTATCTCTTGAGGTCCTTCTCGGCAGGTGATGATAGAATCATGTCACTAGCTTACTAAAAGTCCCTGAATGTCTTATTTGCCGTGGTAGGGAGAATATCTGTGCAGGTGATTGAAACGCAGATTCAAATTATTGGAGTAGAAATTTTAAAAGAGAGGGCAGGCTCTTGGCAAGTGCCTTCTGTCTTAGTATGATATCTGAAATAAGGAATTGAAAAGATGAGGTTAGAGGTGTTACCTGGCCACCAGAAGAACTCACAAGATGGTTAGTACCTTGGTGGATTCACTAAGAGCCACAGTCTGTTCATCACCTTTGAGATTTAAAACACCTCAGCCTCAGGAAAGCTAGTTCATGAGAGCCAATTTCACATAAATCAAAGCAGAGGGCCAATTTACTAATTCACAAAGAAGGGCAGAACACCAAGGGAAAAAATCATAAAGGGAAATACTGATAGATTTTGACTGTACAAATATTTTAAACTTCTTTCCACAAGTCTGCTATAAATAAATGACAGTGTTAATATCCATATATATAAAGAGCTCATATGAATTAACAAGGAAAAAAGTGTTCCAGTATAAAAGCAGGCAAAGGACACGTACAAGAAATTGACAAAAGAAAAAGGTAACTGATAAATATTTCAATGCTTTCTGCCGTTGGTGGTGTGCTGGAGCCTACTTGCAGGGCTTGAGAACGCACTCACATTGAGAGCTTGAAATCAGTTGTGGTGAGAATATTTACACCACGGAAATAAGCAAATGCTGCATATCAGGGTTGCTTTTTTCTTTTTTTTCCTTCTCAGAGAACCAGCTGTCAAACATTTAGCAGCACATTACTGCACATCTTCTATCACTCTCTCACCTGGATCCTTTCCAACAACATTCAAACCTTCGCAGGTCTTTTCTGCCATCTTTAAAGAAACTCCAACCTCCCACATCCTTCTCTAGCTACCATCTCTGTTTTCCTTCACAGCCAAACTTCCCCAAATAACTGACTATATTTCCTGAATCCATTTAGTCATTTCCCAATCGTTCTTCCACACGCTCAAGCCATTTTTTGCCACCATGTCTCCCCTGAAACAGCTCTTGTTGAGCTCAATGACCTCCATGGACCCTAAAGTCTGTGAACAGTTTTCCCTTACTTCCTTTGACCTCTTGGCAGTATTCAATTCTGTTGACGACCTTCTTGAAATCCTCTTGTCCTTGGGCTTCGGCAGCCCATGATCCTGGTTTACCTCCAACCTCTCTAGTTTCTCCTTTGCAGTTCCCTTCTCAGGTTCTTCTTCTCGAAATGCTGGTGTTTTTCAGGGATCAGTCTTGGGTCCTTTCTTTACTTTCTCCCTAGGTCATTTCATTTATTCCCATGGCTTTACACACTACCTATACACCAATGACTTCTAGATTTATAGCTCTGGTCCTGGCCCCTCTTCTGGGAGCTCCAGTTGCCTACTCGACATCTTCCCCTTCAATGTCTCAAAAGCATCTCAAACTCAAGCTAATCCCAAACTGGAGCCAAAGACTTTCTCTCTCTTCCTCGAACCTGAGGTTCTCCAGTGTTCCCCATTTCAACGAATTGCAGGACCATATAAGTCAGAAACTTAAGAGTCAACTTCGGCATATCTGTCTTCCTCGTCTCCCACATCACCAAATCTGGGTTGTCTTTACCTTCTAAATAGCTCCCCAATAAGTTCTCTTCTCTCCATCTCTACTTCTACTGCCCTAGTACAAGCCTCCATGATCTTTCAGCTGGAAGACTAAAAGAGCCTCCTAACGGTTTTTTCTTTTTTTCTTTCTTTCTTTTTTTGGCCGTGCCGTGCAGCATGTGGGATCTTAATTCCCAGACCAGGGATCGAACCTGTGCCCCTGCAGTGGAAGCTCCGAGTCCTAACCAGGACCGCCAAGGAATTCCCCTAACTGGTTTTCTGCCTCCATTTTCTTCTCTTCAATATGCTCTCCATACTGAAGCCAAGGAACTTTTCAAAACACGAGTCTGATCATGCCACACTCCTGTCACAAACTCCTCAGTGGCTCCCATTGCTTAGGGTAAAAAAGTCCAAACAGCTCTGTACAATGGCCAAGGGCCCTGATTATCTGGCTCTGTGCCTATGTCTGCAGCCTCATTTCATTCCCCTCCAGTCTGTCTGTACTCCAGGAACACCAGCTTCCTTTCCGCTTCTTTTTTTTTTTTTTCCTTTCCGCTTCTTGAACAGAGCCTTCGAACATGCTCTTTCCTTTGCCTGGAATGCCCTTCTCACTCCCGTCCTCCCTTCACCTAGCTGACTCTTATTTAATCCGCAGATCTCGATTTAAACATCACTTCCTCCACGAAGCCTCCTACACTGACAAGCTAGACTAAGTCAAATCTGCACCGCCCCCCCAATAAGTATGTCCTTAATTGCTCTTACTGCAGTTTTATTTCTTCATTTTATGTGTGTGATTATTTGATGTTTGTCTGTCCTCCCTACTAGATCATAAGCTCCATGAAGGCCAGGACCAAGTTTGTTTTTACTCACCAATGATCTCCAGCACCTAGTCTAAGACTTGGCACACAGTGGGTTATCTATTAATATTTGTGAGATTAATGAATCAGGGATCCCTGTGTACAGAAAATATGTAAAACTAAGCCAGCTAGTATTTCTCCTTTTGTTATATCTTCCAAGAAGCTAAGAATCCTATTTAAAGCTTAATCATGGCAATTATATCAACCCACTAGATTCAGCATATCTGAATTCTCCTTTTTGATACCGACGTTCTATTCCCAGTTTATTGATCCATAAAATCTGTTTTGGAATAAGACGCTGTGCGTGTGTGTGTGTGTGTGTGTGTGTGCACATGTACGCGAGCACACGCCTACATGTGCACATGTATATGAATGCAAAGCTAAATCAATACCTAAATGCAAAGCATTGACAGATTGATAAAAAAAAGACTTCACCTTAACCGATGACTAATGGTGGTGATGGTGAGGCCAGTATCTCACTGAGTGTCGTTACCATCTTGATTCCATCTCTGTGGCTCATTTCAATCCTTTCACAGTGCTGGTGGCTCATCTGTGGAAGACTGCAGGGTCACTGGGTAGAGACCTTCTTTCTCTAGATTCTGTACCATGTCTAGGGGCTGTGGGTGAATGTCATTCAACTCACAGAACTTATTGTCTTTTTAAACCTTCTTTTATCTCGTGAAATGTAACACATATCCCAAAGAGTTCCTAAAGCAGAAAGATAAAGCAAAAATCAATATTTATAAATCAAACACCCATGTGATCACCACTAGGTTAAGAGCTAGAGCCCTGGGGGAATTCCCTGGCAGTCCAGTGGTTAGGACTCGGTGCTTTCACTGTCGTGGCCCAGGTTCGATCCCTGGTCGGGGAACTGAGATCCTGCAAGCCGCACGGCGCAGCAAAAAACAAAACAAAAGAAAAAGAAAACAGAAATAGAGCATTGTATTTATTGTCTATGCTTCATATTGGATACTGCCTTAAGACACATTTGTTATTTACTATTTGACTTTTAGTGCATATATATCTCGTCTCCCCAGTTAGACAGGAACTTCCTTCAGAACAGAAGCCATACCTCATATTTCTCTCTACCTCTCCCAGTGCCTAGTGCAGTGCCCTGGTAGGTACACAACGCATTTGACATGATTACACATCTTAGACTAACTCTGTGATTCTGGGAAGACCACTGAGGACTAATTGTGGTGAACAAGAATTGTTTGAGGGGGACTTCCCTGGTGGTCCAGTGGCTAAGACCTGGCACAGCCAAAAAGAAAAAAAAAAGAATTGTTTGAGGAAACACAAGATTGTATCATTTGTCTAAGTCTATGTGTACAAATCAGGGTCTAAGGACAATTAGTATCCCTGATATGGGCAGTGTGCCCAGCCTTCTCTTGAGTTCTGGCTCTTGCCCAACACAGAAAGCCAGCCTAGGACTATGGCAGTAGCCTCCTAACTGGTCTCCCTGTCTTTGGTCTTGCCCTCATTCAATGAGTTCTTCTGTGGTGACTCAAGTGTGCTGAGTAAACATAGATCTCACTGCCATGTCACTGCTCAATAACCTTTACATGGTGGTTCTCCAGCTGCGATGCACCTCACAACCACCTGGAAATCTTCTTACACACCCATACTTCTACCAAACAAAGATTCTGTCTCGGCAGGTCTGTGGTGGGGTCTAGGCCTTGGCCTCTATAAGAAGCAGTAAGGGTGATTCTGATGCAGCTCGGGTACCGTCCACCAAGAAACACTGCTTCAAAGGCTCTTTATTCCCTACAGGGTGAAACCTCAGCATCCTTAGCAGGGCACACAAGGCCCTTAATGGGTGGCCCATTTTAAAGCAGACTCTGTTCCCTCCATGCTACTCCAGTCCCATGTCACTGTCACCATCTTTTCTTGCCTGAACTGCTACAACAGTGTTCTGGTTCCTGAGTCCTAATCGCTTCAATTGCTGTCTGCTCCAATCTTCTCCCCAACCTGGAGCCAGAGTGACCTTTCAAAATTGCAAATGTATTCATATCGCCCCCCTGCTCAAAACCCTTCGGTGGTTCCTCACCATCTAATGGACAGTTTCTCCAACTGGTTCAGGTGGCACGGCAGCTGGAAGTCATGATGGTCTTTCTAGAATGCCAGGAAATAATTGATATAGGATATCGCATCAGATGAAATAGAACACTTTTCAAAAGAACACTTCTGCTAGCAGAAAATACGTCTACATTATGTGTGTGCAACACAAAATCATAGCCACAAGCACAGATGTCCATGAAAAAAAAATAAACTGTTGAATTAAGCATAATCAGTCCTGGGATTGTCTTTAATATTCTTTTGCTACATGTTCATTCATTTTGTTGCTTGCTAGCAGATAAGAAGGAGCATCTGTCGAAGACTGAGCAAAACTTTATGGTTAAAAAAATTAAAATAGAGAAGTTTCTACCCATTAACTGATTTGTTTTTCACTGTGCGCATCCGTCTCATTTGCACCGGGCCTGGTTCCAGAACGAGCAGGCGTTGTCCCTGGAGAGCACAGCTCGAGAATCCCTACTCTTGAGCATGAAGGCTAAGCTCTTTGGCATATGACCAATGTGCCCCTTCCAGCTCTGACCCCACCTTCTCTTCCAGCCGCATTTACAACCGCTCTCCTCTCCTCCACCATTCCCTCTGGCCAAGAGTTGGAATTCCCTAAATGTTCTGTCCTTTTCTTCTGTAGTTTTACATATAGTGTTCTTCTACTGTTCCCCCCACCCCTTGATGGCCAGATAAGCTACTACTCTTTCTTCAAGATTCAATCCAAATGGGTCTTTTTTTTTTTTTTGGCCACACCGCACGGGCATGTGGGCGCTTAGTTCCCCGACCAGGGATCGAACCCACGCCCCGGAAGCGTGGAGCCCCAACCACTGGACCACCATGGAAGTCCCCAAATGGGCCTTGAGGTGCCTTCCCTCACCTCTCTGGGTCTCCACCTCTCCAAGGTCTTGCTCCTGACTGATTATATCACTTATCACGTTACTGGTTGTTTGTGGAACCATCATCTGGCACCTGGCCTGGGTGCTCCCTCAGGTCATGGCAAAGGTGCTTGGCACCCATTTTTCTTGAGTCCTCTGGCACTGAGCACAGTGGCTGATATGCAGCTCATATTTGTGGAATGAAGAGTAAAATTTCAAAGGAAGCAAAGTTTATCTTTAGAAACTTTCAGCTCCCTACAGGGGTCCCCTCTCCATCTTTCTGGTACCTCTTCTCCAACCCTAGGCACTCTGTACTCTCATGCTGCCCACTGGTAGAAATCCACCAGGATCTGCCATTATCGCTACAGCCCAGGCTTCAGAATTTTCCCTCAATATCCTGCCAAACTTTACCCAGTCCTGTGTCCCATCCCTCCATGGCTAGATTTCAGATAAACCAGTGGTTCTCAAACCTTAGCATAAATTAGAATCCCCTGGAGGACTTACTTATTCAAAGGGTCCCAGTCCTCAAGGTTCTGATTCAGTAGGTCTGTCTGGCCTGGGGCCTGAGAATTTGCATTTCTAACTTCCCAGGTGATGCTGAGACTGCTAGACAATGACATATTTTGAGAAGCACTGGAATAAAATAATGTAAAGCCAGGGGCGACAGGTAATGATGCACAAAGGAATCCTTACTTCATCCTGACTCAGCCCTTCACTGAGTTTCTGGTTCTATCAGCACTGTCTGCATTTGGTTAATCTCAGATCATTTTCCCTCTGCTTCACCCTGTCCTCTTCCTCCAGCTTTCTGAATTTACTTTTCAGATGCTTCTCAGAGCGTCTCCACTTTAGACCAACGCTAGTATCCTCTTTCTCCTTTCATAAAGCCACAGTTTCAGGACAAAGCCCTTTGCTGAGCTCTTAGCTCCACTTCACGGCCCTCCTCCCCTGCCCTGTCCCCTTCCCCCATCCAGTCTGAGCACCCCCTGCCCCAGCCGTCAGGGTGACTTTGCTAAAGCTTGACTATAATTAGGCCCCCTCCTATCTAGCAGGGAGGGCCATTTCCCCTCCCCGGGGAGTCCGGTTCCACAAACAACATTAGCAAATTAATGACAGTCACCTGCTGGCCTGGGGAAGTCGCTGCTTGCTCCAGCTTCCTTAAGGACAGTGGAAACACTGAAAACACCACATTTACAGGCTTCCGTTTATTCATTCACTCAACAAACATTGAGCACCTGCCAGATAACTGTGTTGCGCCCAAGGGACCCCACCAGGACACATCGAACATGAAGACATGTTCATGGCAGGGCCTGAGGGTCCACAGTGCCTCTTCAGGAAGGGGATCTTTTGGTCCCACTCATCAACAGGGACAGACATGCAAGAAAGCAACTGACCACTCGTCAGTTGGTCGGAGCAACTGACTCTTGCCTCGGCCCTCCCGTGTCTGCTCCGTGCCTGGGCAAGTGACCCAGCACCAAAGACAAACCCAGCGAATTTCCAAATTTCTTTGTTTTCATTTTATTTTTTCCCCTCCCTCCCTCCAAGCTTCTTTGTTTAAATAAGTATTATAATCCACAGCATTCAGTTACTGGCCTCCTGCATTGAGTCAGGTAAGGTATGTAAAGCCCAGAACGCAGTGAGCTAAAACCTCTCTACACATACGCACACAGCCACTGACACACACATTGACATGTACACACACACACACACACAATACTGGCACGCACACCTTCTCATACATACCAACACACACCAAAAATTCACACTGACACACACACATCGACACAGACACACTCACTGAAACACACACACTGGCAGGTACACAAGAACAAATACAAACATAGGAGTAAGCACATGCCCGTACACACACACACTGACATGCACTGAAACACACAGACACAGCTGACGCACACTGACACAGACAAATGCACGCCTACTCACACATCAACAGCAAGCCACACCCCACGGAAACCGGGAAGCCCAAGCCCCGGGAGGCACTTGCAGACGCAGGTGACAGGTCTTGCAGGGACCAAGGGGTTGAGGGAGACTTGAGTTACACACTTGGTTCCAGTCTGCGAGGTCTAGCGTTTTGGAGGCGGAGGCCTCCGCGAGGTTCTGAGGGTCCCTAGGGACAGGTGGGCAGAGGGGGGCACACTGGCGGGGCACCAAGGGTTCCCCGCTAAGGTACCCCCAGCGCTGGGCCGAAATGCACGGAGCTTTGGGGAGCGTGGAGCGCTAAGGCGGGAGGGCGGTGCTGCTGGGGGCAAGCAGGATTCCCCAGGAGCCCCGCAGTCAGCCAGACCAGCTCTGCTGGGCCCTCCGCCGGCTCGCCGAGGCTCCGGGTATCAGCTCTCAGCTCTGCTTTCCAAATGTGCGCCTCTCGTCCCGCAGTCACCCAGATCCCACGTCCGGGTCAGAGCTAATGAGCTCCAGCCCCTCCCAGTCCTCCATGCCCCAGTCTTTGCAGGGAAGACCTGTCTCCCTGCCAGACACCCAGTCTGGAAGCGGCCAGTCCCCTCTGACTCCCCGCCCCCATCCGGTCCCGGCCCAACCTTACAGCGGTTCCTCATATACAGCCCTGCCCCCGCACATGGCTGCCACCCCAATCCAGGGCCTGGCGCCTCGCCCAGGCCCTGCCCCAGCGCCCTGGTGGGCCTTGGAGACAACAGCCGCCCCTCTTCTCTGCCACCACCGTCTGCCCTGTGGGCCTGCGCTGTCTGTCTACAGAACTCCCCTGTACTGTCCCAGATTGTGCCAGGCCCTTCTCTTTCGGCGCCTCCTAGGTCTCCAGCACAGTTGGCACCTCCAATACTTGGCTCTTCTGTCCCTACAGTCACCTCTTGATTGTGTCTCTTCTTTCTTCTGTACCCCTCCTCCCAATCCAAGTCTTCTGCCCGCTTGTTCAGGAAATGCTTAATTGGGCGCTTGGTGGATGCCAGGCCCCGAACTAGGCACTGGGGGACGCATTTTGCGGAGTCCTTGTTCTCAAGGTTCACACGCACGTAAAGAGCTCCCTGAGACAGTGTGAGCAGCACTGTCCCGGCAGGTGGACACTGCCAGGGGAGCGCTTCATATGGCCACCCCAATTTCTCTGCCTTCCCCCCTCCCCGCGCGCACGGGCCTCTGGGTTGGGTCCCTTCTCCTTCTCTCTCGTTGGTTCCGTTTTTCTTCTTTCCTCCCTCCTGCCCCCGCCTCAGCCGCTCCCGCCTTGGGCCATTTCCCACGCTGCATCCCAGCCCCCTCGCGGGCCCAGCTTTCGCCCATGGATCTGTCTCCCTCCGCGGTCCCGGGTTCCACTCGAGGGTCTGAGTCCCTCTCCGAGACCAGGGCACCTGTCCTCTTAAGGAGTGGAGTGGAGTGGATTGTCCCGCCCGCTCGGGCCTCGGGCACGCCAAACCTGCCAGGGTTCGCCTGTCACTAGAAGCTAACAAGGGGCCACTCCCAGGAGAGGGGGTGCGGGGCGACAGGCCGGAGACGGGGAGAGGTGCCGAGGGCAAGGGAGGGGACCCGCGGTGGCGGTGGGCCGGGAGGAAAAGGAAAGCAGGCGGGCAGAGCCTCTGCCTTCGGAAGGTCTCCTGCACGCCGCGGCCGCCTAGTCTCGGGCTGACCCAAGGTTAAGGGGAAATCAGGGGGCGGGACAGAGTCACCGGAGGCAGCTCCGCGCTCCTCCCCAATATCCCCTTCAGTTGAGCTGGGAGCCTTCAGCCCCAAGCCCCTCCTCTGAGACTCCCCGGCGGTCCAGGCACTACGAGGGAGTGAGTCGTCTGAGCCTCCGTTCACACGCTGAGCGTCTAGGGCTCGGTGGGGAGAGGAGGCGTGGGGTCCGTTTGTATGAAGTACCCAACGGTGGTGAGCTCGGAAATGACAGCCCACAGCACCCGCCGCGTGGAAACCCCAGGGCAGAAGGGGCGTCTCGTCTCAGGACCGCTGGCCTCGGACTCCGCAGGTCACAGCTCAGCTGCTGGGCCCGCAGTGCGGCTCCCCCCAACCGCCTCCTTTCTAAGCTCCACCGTGGGGCGGCAGGTGCCGCAACTCGCCCCCGCCCCAACAGCACTCCCTGGCCGGGATGGGGGAGGTGGGGGGAGGTGTGGTGGAGCAGCGAGACTCCAGCGGCGGGCGCTCCCCTCCAAGCACCCAGAGATCTCGGTGAGGAGGAAGAGGGGGTACAGGGGGCGGGGATGAGGGAGAGGAGGACCGCAGGGCTCTGCCGCCGAGTTGTGCGCGACGGGGGCGAAGGGCGGGGGCTCCCTTCCAGCCTCCGGGGTCTGGGGACTCAGGGATGTAAGGCGAGAGCAGGGGGGTGTGTGACAATTCAGCAGAGGTCGGGACGTACCACGGAGCCCAGTGGCGAAGGGGGGGGCAGAGGACGTGGTCACCGAGGGGAGCCCCCGCCCCCCTTCGCAAAGGCCTACAACTGAGGCTGCAGGGAGAGCCGGAACTAGGCTCGCGGGAGAGGGAAGCGGCGCGTTAAATCCGCCCCCTCCCCGCACCCCACTTCCGAGGGGGTGGGCGATAGAGGAGAGGTTGGAGCCGCGGTGAGGGGGCCCCTCCCTTGCACCTCCCCCCACCGGACTTGGTCGCGCCCGAAGTGTAACACTTTCTCTTTGTCGGAGGAGCTCAACGGTTTCCTGTAGCTCGCGCTGAAGCTCCCGTTGCGGAGGCGCCGGTGGCAGCCCTGGCGGAGGCAGGAGCGATGGCAGCGACCGATATAGCTCGCCAGGCGGTGAGTGCGGGGCGTGGGTGCCAGCGCCGGGGCCGGGGGCCTCGGAAGGACCGAGGGGACCTGGCCGCCGCCACCTCCACCGCGAGGAGGGCAGTGGGCAGCGTCCAGGAGCCAAGGCGCGGGGTCAGCGACTCAGTCCCCTAGCCTCCCGTCCCCCAGAACCGTGGTGGCTGGCGTGCGGGTGGGGGGCCTGGTCCGGGTTGCGGGCCAGCGACTGAACTTGCATTGCCCAAGAGCTGCAGTCGGCGCCGCCGCCTCCCTGGCTGCAGCTGCGGCCCCGCCGCTGGGGCGTTGCCGAATGAACGGCCGCACTGGCCGCCAAGCCCTCCGGGTCCCGGCACGCTGGCCTCGCTCCCTCCGGCTGCCGGGCCGCGCCCCTGCGCCCCGCAGCCCGCCGGGACCCGGGCCTCCTCAGCCAGAGGGGCTCGGGGCTGGGGTGAGCCTGGGGCAGGAGGCGGCGAGTGGTGAGGGGGGCGGGGAGGTGACTGGCTGGGGTAGGGTTTCTCCATATGCATTACATATGTGACTGCGTCTGTGTGTGTATCACTGTGTGCGTATGAGTGCACGCGCGCGCGCTCCTGCCTCCCCGGGCGGGCGGCGGTGCCCGGCTTGTCTGTGACCCTAGATGAGTCCGCCAGTTTCTTGGAGTGTGCTCGCCTCTCTGGTGCTTGTCCCTGTGTCCGGACGCTTCTCTCGCCGTCTGCTTGTGCTGTGTGCCTCTGGGTCCCATTTGTGCGTTTTGTGGGGTGCAGTCCGCTGGCCTGTAGGTGGTTGGCTGCGTACTTTGGCGTGTTTCTGAGCACCTGACCAGGGTTTTGCGGGCCTCTGGGCAGGGGGATCTGTCTCCGGTGCGTGTTCAGTGTAACTGGCTTGTGTGCCAAAACCTGTGGAGCTGGCTTCTTGTTATGGGGACTAAGGAAAATCAGTGCGACGCTTGCAAAAGCGGTGCCCTCTCTCTCTTTTTGTTGGCAGTCGACTCTGGAAAAAAAAAAAATCTTCATTTAACGAACTGAAGTTTTCCAGACTGGGATGTGCAGAGAAATTATACTGAAGTGACCCGAGCCTCCATGTTTGTTTTTTTAGACCAGAAGTTTCGTTGCCAAGGGAGGGGATGATTCCATTTGAGGGAACAACCTAGCCTTTCTATTCATCCATGGGTATCTGGGATTTTAAGAAGCCCACAATTACCAGCACCCTGAGGTGAGGAAGGAGAGTGAAGTAGAGGAAGGTCAGATCCCATGACACTACACACACATACACACACATACACACACACACACACACACACACACACACACACACACACACTAAACCTTGTGGCTTACTTATTTAGGGAAATACTCCATGCAATGCAATTTCAGTGCAAAAAATATACATAGCCTCTAGATATTTGGTGTAATTGAAACTGATTTGTTTTCAAAATCTGAATCCAGAGTCTGATAGCATTTCCTCTCCAGGAAATGGATACATTTATTCCATCCTCTTGTTCTTGTTTGGAAGGGCAAGGTGATTTCTTTGGAACCTCCCCCACCCCCCTGAAAGACCCCAGCATGGAGCTCCTTATGCAGTCATGATGTGGAAGGACCAGCAGAAGATGGGAGGCAGTGCTCTGTGATAATGGAATCTGAGAGAATTCTCTTCTCCCCAAGATTGGCACTGTAATATGTATTGCTTTAGTGTTTTGAGGGTTCCCAGAGTACCTTTCTGCTCCTCCATTATCTGCATTTTAGAGATGGCATGCCTTAAGTAGAGGACTTAGTCTCCTGGATTACACTTGCTCCATCCTTAGTGACCAAGAAGGACACTAGTGATTTTTCTTGTCAGCTAATTAATTTGCATCGACCTGCCCATACTCTCTCACCAGTCCCCCTAACCTGAATTAAGATTGCAGGGCCGTTGTAGCAAAGGGGAACATTCCAGAAGGTTGTGTTTCACCTCCGGCAACCCAGAGATCCCTTTGTTCTGCAAATGGAGGTGGGGGTGATTTAGGGCCACTTGGTTTGCTTTGGTTGTTTCCAGTTTGCTCTGGCGGGCCTTGCCCTACTGTATGATGAAGAACATAATTGTATGCCAGATTCTGAAGCTGAAAGAGCAGCCCGAGCACTTGAGACCTTGTTATCGTGATAAATGGGTTTCTGGGAAAACTGACGTCACTCTCCATGCCCCCCTCCCCCAGCTAGTGAAGCCCTTGTTTATGTGTCATTTGTCTCTCTGCCTGCCTTTGTGTCTGCAAGAAGTTGTAATTCACCGGGGGAAGATGGAATTAACTCGGGAGGCCTTTGGACGTCTGGCTGCTGATTGTTTCTTCCTGGGAACGAGTATCCAGGATTTGGGAAAAGAAGACTGGAGACTAAACCTAAGTGTGCCTGGCTTAGGAGTTCTTTTTAATGAGCTCTGAGACATGGTGCCCTGCAAGTAGTGCTCTGGTGTGTGTGTGAGGGATGGGCTGTCCTTTCCAGAGTCAGTTGAGGGTCACTGGCTTGTAATGTAACATCATTAGTGACAAAAACAGACCTTAGAGTTGCTGGATAGGATCCTTATTTGGGCATGCATGCAACTTGGAAGTTCAGCTTTTGTGTACATAATACAATCCCATCCCATCTGAATGAACACCACAAAGATTCTGTAGGACAAAACTGTTTCTTCATCATGTCCACAAGTGTTTATTTGATTAACTGCTAAGTGTCCAGCACTATGGCTGGCTCCGGTTAACTATACCAGAAAAAAGTAGTAGACATAGTTCCTGGCTTTTACGCTTATTGCAGTCTAGTTGGAGAGGCAAATTGTGGACACGGTGAAATAATTAGAGAACTATAGAAGATTCTTGGGATGTTTCCATCCCCAGCCCCTGCCTGTGAGGTGGCTTGGGCTGCTGTTAATATATACTCTGAGAGGTTCCATGACTTGTCCAAGGTAACTTGGCAAGGCACGGTGCAGCCAGGTAATGGTCTTTCTCCCTAAAGAAAGAGCTTGCAGGGCCTAACGCTGCCCTAGCTGTGCTGGTCCTGGGGCAACTGTCCCGGGGCAGCTATCCCAAGGCAACCGCCTGTAGGTGGCTGCACTCTGGTCTTGCTATCAAATGACACTTAACCTTGATTCCCATTGAAGTGCCCTGCCTCAGCCATCTCCCCACCTCGCACTAAAAGTCATATGGTGCCCCAAGCAGGGAGAGGAAAACCCCAATATCCACCCATACCTCTACTGTGAATACAGCACTGAAGAAAATTTGCATGGCCCCAAATATTAAAAATTCTTGAATCTAGGTCGTGGGTATATGAATGATCATTGTACTATTTTCCAACTTTTCTGTGTGTTTGAGACTTTTCAAAATTAAAAGTTGGAGGGAAATTACAATGTCCACCCTCTTCCCCACAAATGCACATGGCCCCTGCCCTCCGGGAGTTTACAGTCTAGTAGTGGAGGCAGACACAAATAATTATAATTATCTTTGTGATGTGCTGCAGAGGAGTGCTACTACCCGCTAGGATAATTCATTACAAGGGGACCTGATCCAGCAGTGGACAGGGGCGGTGGGTGACAGGAAAGGCTTGCTGAGGGTTTTAACTAGGAAAAGGGTAGGTGTGAAGATGGGTGAGATCTCACTTCTGCTCCCAGGCTGGGAACATTTCATTTGTTAATTCACGCACTTTTATTTTCATTCATTCCTTCAACATGTGTTTATTGGGCACCGACTCTGCCAGGCCCTGTGCCAGGTGCTGGGGATATAGTGGTGGACACGGCACACACGACAGCCCTCTCAGAGCTTCCCCGTGAGAGGCCGGTATAAGCCCCATTTCCTCTTCATATCCTAAAACCTGGAAATGTGAGTGTTCGCGGCATTATTACAAAACTGCATTACAGCCGAGCGATTTGTCTGTATAGTATAATGAGATTTTGATCTGCAGTCATGTGCACAGCATTTACTTTGTAGAGTCTCTGCTGTAAATTTTCTATTAATTGCTGGCTTTGTTACCCAGTATGGCCCCTCACTTTTTGTGCTGTAAGGGAGCGAACCCGTTGCATTAGCCTGAGCAAAACTAATTAGAAAGATAAGTCCCCTGGATAAAGGTATTCCAGAACTAAATAGGACTGATTTCTGGACTTGCATGGGTTTCTGGATTATCAGAGCCTTGGTTTTGTATTATCGTGCGCAATTGAGGAGCGCTTTCAGTTGCATTTACGTTAAAACCACATTCCAGAAAGAAAGAGACAGAGAAAAGAAAAGAAAGAAAAAGAATACTGTAGATAAGTGTAACATGTCTCTTTCAACGATCTCAAAACGCTTCCATCTGTATGATTTCATTTTCCCCAGCAGCTTCCTGGATGAGTATTACTGTTCTTTTCATTTTATGGGTTCAGGAAGACCAAATGACTTAGTCCAAAGTGTTACTGCTGGTCAGTGGATGAAGCAATGAAACACCTTCCAGATGACACAGATTCTTTTTTTTTTTTTCAGATTCGTTTTTATATAAAAAAACTCTGGCCTTTTCATCATGTTTCCAAGAAATAAAAATCCTGCCATGTCCCCTCTTCCCCCTCTTTTCACTGCGACACCCCCACCCCCACCTCAGTATACTCATGGAGGTTGAGAAGAGTATACTTGGGTGCTTTGAAGACTCTGATGTTAAAAAAGATTCTCAGCTTAAACCCCAGACAGCACAGTCATGGCTATGTGGGCTTCCTTCCTTCCTCCCCTCCCTCCCCTCCCCCCCCTCCCTCCCTCCCTCCCTCCCCTCCCTCCCTCCCTTCCCTCCCCTCCCTTCCCTCCCCTCCCTCCTCCTCCCTCCCTTCCTTCCTTTCCTTCCTTCCTTCCTTCCTTCCTTCCTTCCTTCCTTCCTTCCTTCCCCTCTCCCTCTCCTCCTCTCCCTCCCTCCCTCCCTTCCTTCCCTCCCCTCCCCTCCCTCCCTCCCTCCCTCCCTTCCTTTCCTTCCTTCCTTCCTTCCTCCCTCCCTCCCTCCCTTCCTTCCTTCCCTCCCCTCCCCTCTCTCCCTCCCTCCCTCCCTCCCTTCCTTCTTTTCTTTCTTTCTTTCCCATACTTTAAATAAAAATCTTGGAGCCACCAGCCACGTAATGATGGATTATTTTAAGTAACAACTGGAGGAGGCGCGCAGAATAAATTTGAAACACAGACCCTTCCTCCTCGGTGTGGCAGGAGGAGGCTTCTGCTGCCTGCACAGAGGAAGGACCACATGCTCGGGAGGGGGAGATAACGTTCCCGCTTCTGCAGTGTCTTCTCATTAGAGGCAGCCATCTGCTGAATTATGCAGCACGCTCTCCGCTGGCCCTGCAGTGGGGTCATCCCTTCCACTCACTTAAAGGTGACTGGGCAAAAGATTCACGGGCCTTCTCGGGGACAGGACCCAGGGCTCAGGTTTCTCCTGCCAGGGCCCTCTCGGGAGCAGAGCTCTGCGCTTTCACGGCCCTGATGAGGTGTGAGGTCGTGTTCAGTTTCCTTTCGCAGCAGAGGCCCCCAGCTCTGAGCACTGGCGCTGAGGCAGGAACTGGGTTTCTTCAGATCCCCTTTAAATGAGACCAGATGGAGGCAGAGGCAAATTCAGGCTCCCCAGAGGACAGCTGGGCGTTCATCCAGAGGCCTGTGAGTAAACCTTTTTTTTTTTTCTCTTTTTAACAGATTGGAGATAACAATGACCAGAACACCTAGGAAACTCTAAATGGCCTGATTTGAAGGGAATCTGTCAGGCCTTTGTGGGAAAGTTGACCCACCCTGGGCAAGGGTCACCCCTGGCTGAGGTGGAGCTATTTCACCTAGAATCTGGCTGGCTGGGTTCGGTAGCCCTGGGGCTCTTGAGCAGAGGCCAGGCTGAGGCTCAGGCTTGAGTCAGCAGTGAAGGAAATGGGAGCTAGAGGTGGGAGAGAAGATGCAGAAGAGGGGCACCAGCGTCTCCTGGCCTCCACCGCCTCAGTTGCCTTGTGTGGGCCAGAGGTGCCTTGGTGAGCCCACGGGCTTCTGGGTCATTTTCCATGACCCTTCTCCTCCCGACTGGCATCAGCACAAGCCCAATGTCCCAGAATTCTAGCAGCAGAAAGAAATCTATGCGCCACTTGAGTCAGCTTTTCCATTTGAGAGCGGCGGTCTGCTTGACAGGGCCCTGGGTCCCAGCACCACTCTCTGCCACTAAATCACTCTGTGACTCGGGACAAGTCACTTCCTGCCTCTGAGTCTCTGTTTCCCTTTTTGTCAAATGCGCGGGTTGGATTAAGTGATCCGTAAGGATGTTTCCAGCTCTGACATGGTACACTTCTTGTGTTTCCTCCAGCCTGATTTCTTTTAGGTCCTTGCCTGCTTCTGCTTCTGCTTCCAAACGAGGTGGCGGAATTTAACTCCACCCCTTCCCTGCTTTGACTCCTTGAGCTGGGTGGGGAGACGGCTGTAGAGAAAGCAAGTCTGTGCTTTTAGCTCAGCAGGGTCTCTGGAACTGGAATAGAAACAAACAACCCTTCGCATATTGTCTGTCCGTCCGTGTAGGTGTATATAGCTATTGACTTCCTATAAAGGTACGTGACAGCTGAATTTTTGTCTGTTGAATCCCCTTTTACATGCACTAGGAGAGCTGGCTATCTAATAGCATCCTGCTGTGAATCCTTCTATAGAATGAAAAGCCACTCTGGAATTGATCCGGTGTATTAAAATCCAGAGTTCCATCTATTGGATTTGCCAAAACTGGGCCTTCTCCCTGTATGGTGAGGATGGTTTCCTTTGTGCTTCGTCAGGATCCCCTAAGCTGCTCCCCCACTGAAAGGTACTGGGGCCCCTAAGGGGTGCTGCTAGCTTTGGCAGGTTTTATTTCTCCTCCGAAAGGCCCCCAGATTTCTCTCTCCCAGTTCAGGGCATCGCTACTACTGTCAGTTTCCTCTCAGCTCAGCTTAATTGGAGCCAGGGAAATCGTGACGTTTGATGTGTTAGGCATACTGGAGTTGTTGTTGTTTTAACCTCTGGGAACTTAGCAGTGCTCTTGTGGTTCTTATGGCTGATAATATGGGATAATAAGTGGCATTCACTCCCTTGGTAACACCGGAGGTAACAGATAGGGCTATCATCCACCTGATTGTTTCAGCAAGACTTTTTGCTGCATGTTTCAGGGTATGTGATTTGACTTTGACTTCTGGTTCACATGAATCTTTATAAGAATAAGGCATACTGTATAATAATGTTATATTGCATATAAATATGTTATAATAAGAAGAATAATAAGGTTTTATTGTGTTATTGGGAAAATAAATGTTTTATATACAATAAAACTGCCAGAAAGCTGAATACTTCACCAAATTTTCTGGTTATCTGTACATAAAGCAACTTTTTGGCTGTAACTAAAGATTTTGCTAAAATATCTGAGGCCACTTTCCTGCCTAGGAAAGTATCATCATAGAATCTTAAAAAAATAATATTTTAATTCTGATTATAAAAGTAAAATATGGGGCTTCCCTGGTGGCGCAGTGGTTGAGAGTCCGCCTGCCGATGCAGAGGACACGGGTTCGTGCCCCGGTCCGGGAAGATCCCACGTGCCGCGGAGCGGCTGGGCCCGTGAGCCATGGCCGCTAAGCCTGCGCGTCCGGAGCCTGTGCTCCGCAATGGGAGAGGCCACAATAGTGAGAGGCCCGCGTACCACAAAAAAAAAAAAAAAAAAAAGGTAAAATATGCCTACTGTAGAAAATTTGGAACAGAAAAGCAGCAGCTCCTACAGCCCCTCCAAGCCAAAAGCAACCATTCTCACCATTTTGGTATATATTCTTCCAAGTTTTTAAAAATGCATGCATACTTTTTTTCCTCATGATTGGGATGATCTTGTATACACAGTTTTTTATCTAACAGTATTTGGTGATCATTTTCCTATGCCATTAAATATTCTTAGAATATGTTTTTATCAGCTGTTTAATATTCCATCATGCATCATTGAACTATTCATTGAGTTTGAGCGTCCTGAAGATTTGCAGGGTCTCTCAGAGATTGATAGTCAGAGCTGGGGAGGGAGATAGAGGAAGGGAAGGTGTGAGAGATCGGGCCCACCAGTAAGTGACACATGGGGCTGCCGGAGATAATCCTATTTCAGTGTTTCTGTCCTTTCCTAGCATCTTTGTGCCAAGGCCAGAGGAGAAAGTTAAGGACAAGCCCGGTCTTTGGCCATGAGTTCCAAACTTTTTGTTTTGATCTTGTCCTTCAGAATGACAGCTACTAACTTGGCCACCCCGGTTTTAAACGGAGGCCAGAAATTCTCCGTCGACACAGATGCGCCCTCGGTTTCCGGAGGCTTCCTACATGGCTTGCGTCCTGTGCCACAAAGGTTGGAAGGGGGGAGGGGGGCAGGGGTTGCCCACTTGGGTGCTTATGGGACCCTTTATTTTCAGAATCACAGCAAGGGGAAAACGATGCACAGCTGGAACTGCCCTCACTCGTACTTCATAACACGAACCTCCGACTATTCAATTAAAACGCGCAATCGGTGTGTCCTCGGGGGAGGAGGCGGAAGAGAAAGCGTTGTTTCTGCCTGTGATATGAAATGTGGTATATAACGTATTTCAAGACCGCAGGTGACTGCAGATGAGGAGAAAACAGGAAACGTAATTGGGGAGGGGAGTGGGGCCTCTCCCAGTTCTCAGGAGCACGCTTTCATTTTTGCCTGCCTTTTAGCTCCTCTCAGACGCTGCAGCCTAATTACCCCTGCTGCAAAGCTGAACCAGAACTCGCTTTTCGTGTATTAAAAATGGTTTTTAAATTACACAGGTAATGTGTGAATACATTCATGCTGTAAAAGAATCAAACAATGCAGAAGCACACTGACTACCCCCCGAGGAAGCCCCTAGTTCCAGTCCCCTCCCCTGAGGTACCCTGAGTTCTAGGTGTGGTGGGTGCCTTTTTAGTCCCCTTTCTCTCACATACATTTAAGTGCAAATACACGCAGAGGTTTTTTTTGCATATATGGCCTCATACTGTGCTTATTGTTCTGCAGTTTCTTTTTTTCTATATTATAATATGTCTTGGAGATATTCCGATCAGTACTGCATTCTTTTTTTAAATTATTAGACCTACTGCATTCTTTTTTTAAATTATTATTGGAGTATAGTTGATTTATAATGTTGCGTTAGATTCAGGTGTACAGCGAATGAATCAGTTATACATACACTTACATCCACTCTCTTTTAGATTCTTTTCCTATATAGGCCATTACAGAGTATTGAGTAGAGTTCCCTGTGCTATACAGCAGGGCTTTATTAGTTAACTATTTTATATATAGTAGTGTGTATATGTCCATCCCAGTCTCCCAATATATCCCTCCCCACCCTTACCCCCTGGTAACCATTAGTTTGTTTTCTACCTCTGTGACTCTGTTTCTAGATCTACTGCATTCTTCTTAATGGCTGAGGAATATTCCAGAATATGCACGTACCATAATTTAGTTAACTGGTTTTTCTGTCACAACATATGAAACACCCGAACGAACTTTTTGGCCAACCTAATATTTTTTCCCATTGTCGGACATTTAGGTTTTTTTTTTCTAGGTTTTCAGTATTATAAATAATTCTGTAATGAGTTTCCTTGTACTGTACGTGGACCTTTGTACAGGCATGTGAGTCTCTGTAGAGCAGATCCCGAGGGGAGGTTGCAGGTCACGGGAGGTGGGCCATTTAACATTTTGGTGGCTGTGACCTTTCTAGCCTCTCAGTTCAAAGCGTCAAACGTGGCACCACCTGCTACTCAAGATGATAACTTAAGGTTTTAGTGTCAGATGTCCTGGGCCAAGTTGCCAGTTCCATCTCCTTTTGTGCACTTTGTAATCCAGGGAACATTCAATTGACTGCAATCAAAGCAGTCAGGACCTCAATTAATCAGGCCACGTTAAGGAGAAAGAGGAAAGAGATAAGCTATCGGAGGTTTAGAGAGGGAAGAGGGAAGAAACTTCCAGGGGCTGTCCAGGGGTCAGTGTCCATTCAGCCCAGTGTCCTGTCGTTTTCACCATTACGTATTTACCTCTGAACAATGAGGACTGATGTTCATAACGGTGACCTTGACATCTTCTAAGATTCATCAAAGCAGAAGTGAATGGTGCTCGCTAGGCAGGATTTCCTAAAGCAGGAACTGCATATACAAATTCATTTTCGAAGCTTTCTCAACTACAAGGATTGAGACATACAGTTTGCTGCTTAAATCTTGATTAGCAAGAAAGACGCATTACCCAGATTCCATGTTCCCTAGTCCCCAAACCTTCCAGTTAACTTAGGTGTATTGGACACCGGGTAAAAAGATACAGAAGAAAAAAGGATTCTAAAAGTTACCAGTGGACTTTACCAAATCCAGACCAATGGTCGTTTCTCTGTAATTCTTCCTGACTTCAATCTTGGCCTCTGGTGATAGAAAACTACTGGGTCATCTCTTACTTTTCTGATCATCCCCCCACCCCTTGGAAGAATTCTCTTCATCTTCCCATTCCTTACTTGTGGGCATTGCTTATATTCAGTCCTTAATTCTTTTCTCCCTGTACTGTCTCTTGAAGAACACATCCAGTTTCATACCTCTCACTGCTAAATTTATATCTCAGTCCTGAATTCTCCCTGAGCCTACAATCCCATATTGCTAAGTACTTAGTGGGTAGATGTGTCACCATAAAATCAAAACTATCTTGTTTTCTTTAGTATAGAAAATGCTTTTACAAATCCAGAAGAGAAAGACAAGCACCCATTTTAAGAAAATGGACAAAGACGTGAATAGTTAACTCGCATATACATAGACACAACATACATATGTAGTTGAACAATAAAAAAAGTTCACTCTCACCAATAAAATGCAAATGAAGTTACATGATGCCATTTTGCAGTGATTCAATTCACAATGGTTAAAAAGCCTCAAACTCAGTGCTGGTCTAAGTATGTGTAAACAGACACTCTCGCATACTGGCGTTAGAAATAGACATTTGTAATATTCTCTGTTGAACGATTTCTCGGTGTGTACCAAAGTCTTTCCAATGTGTGTGGCCTTGCACCCAGCAGGCTTTAATTCTAGGAATTTAGCTTAAGGAAATAATCAGAGACTATGCAAACCTGTAAGAACAAGAATTATTACTTATAATGTTGAAAACTTGGAAACACGCTAAATGTCTAGTAGTGGAAGACATTTCACTGGTTGAGAAAATGTGGTAAATTCCCACAATGGAATTCTATGTGGCCAAAAAAGTAATGTTTTAGAAGTATACTTAATTACTCAAGAGAACATCCATACTATATTAAGTGTCCGGTTATTAAGCCAGGTGATGAAAAGGAATATACAGGATTATCCCTATTTTGTAAACAAAAAAAAAAAAGAAAAAAAGTATTATATATAGACTGTAGGGAAATACATGTAAATACTAATAGTGACTGTCTCTGGAGAGTGATATTATGGGTGATTTTTATTTTCTTCTTTATAATTTTCCATATGTTTTAAAATTTCTACAGCGGACATGGATTACTCTTATAAAAAACCTGATAAGTGTAATTTTAAAATAATGGCTATTTAAAACTAGAATCTTCGACTTTTCCGCTAAAGCACCCTCTCCTGGCTTCCCTCTTTCTGCCCTTGGTGCCATCGATCCAATCTCCCAGGCGCAGGACCTTGCAGCCTTACAGCTTTGATTGCTCCCGCACTCTCTGCCCAGTCATTCACCGAGTCTCATCCTTTCTTTAGGACGGCTCTCAAATTTGTTCCTCCCTCCTGAGTCCCAAGTCAGATCAGTTCACTTCAAGCAGCATTTATCGTCACAGTGCCTGGCTGTCACTCTGCCAGTTCAGCGTTATTGGAGTCCTCTCCTAATATGTCTTCCTGCCCCTTCTCCCGCTCTCCTCCCATCCATCAAGCGCCCTGCAGCTGGAATGATCTTTTGAAAAGACTACTTGTGTCATGGCCCTTCCTGCTCAAAACACTCAAAATGCCCCTTTTAAACCCCATTGCCTAGGGAATAAAGGCCATACTCTTTCTTCTGCTATTTAGGGCTCTCACAGCACTGGGCTAGGTGGGAGATAACTGTGGGCACGTGGGAGGTGCTTGGGTGAGACTTGACAATGAAATAAATCTTTAAGAATAAGATGTGGAGTTCTCCCCGCTGCCCTTCACTGTCTTCAGTTTGAAAATTCCCTTTCCTCATCTTTTGGCACTTGGACCAGACGCCCTGGAGCACTTGAAGTTTCATGGTGCTGAATTTGGACACAGGAAGAGGCAGCCGGGGGTGATGATATATGGCTCAGGAAACCTCAACTCTGAGTCCCTCCCAATTTCCGATGCCTGCTGAGTAGGAGACTCCATCGAGAAAGCATATTGGCTCTTAGGTTTCTGTCTCCCCTGCAGTCTTGAGGACCAAGAATGAACAGTGGGAAACTTACATCTTTTTTAAAAAAAAAATAATTAGTTAATTAATTTTTGGCTGTGTTGGGTCTTTGTTGCTGCGCGCGGGCTTTCTCTAGTTGCGGTGAGCGGGGGCTACTCTTCCTTGCGGTGCGCGGGCTTCTCATTGCGGTGGCTTCTCGTTGCGGAGCATGGGCTCTAGGTGCGCGGGCTTCAGTAGTTGTGGCATGCAGGCTCAATAGTTGTGGCTCGCAGGCTCTAGAGTGCAGGCTCAGTAGTTGTGGCACACGGGCTTAGCTGCTCCGTGGCATGTGGGATCTTCCCAGACCAGGGATCGAACCCGTGTCCCCTGCATTGGCAGGCGGATTCTTAACCACTGCGCCACCAGGGAAGCCCCTTACATCTTTTTTTGATTGCTTTGATAAAAAGATGGCGAAAAGGGTGAGGGAAAGCAAAAGGGGGTGAATGTAGCCCTGAGTGATGCAGGCCACTCATAAAACCCAGCTGTCTTCAGGTACCCCTCTGGGGCCCAGAATATACCACCCAGGACTGAATGATGGCATATGGTTGTCTGTTGAGACTACTCCACTGGAGGGTGTGGGGTGAGATATGTGAGGGTAGCAGTCTTGCCAGATGGCAGTCACGGGCATGAGGGATCTTTAGTTGTGGCATGTGTGTGGGATCTAGTTCCCTGACAAGGGATCAAACCTGGGCCCCCTGCATTGGGAGCGAGGAGTCTTACCCACTGGACCACCAGGGAAGTCCCAAGAAGAGAAATTGCTTTTTGAAGTCCCTTTGTCGTATTTACTGAACACTTATACATATTCCAGGCATTGTACTAAGCTCGTTACATGTGTTGGCATATTTGAGTCTCCCAATCATCTGTAAGGTAATATTATGTCATTTGACAGATGTGAAAGGAAACTGAGTCTCTGTGAGGAGAATTAACCCAAGGCTGGGAACCTTCTCATCCCCTGACCTCCCCCCCCGCCCTCCCACCCCTTACAAGCCGCCTCTGTAGTTTGCTGTGTCTGGAACTATGTGACGTTCATTATGGAGCCTCAAGGATGACTGTACCCAAGAATCCATGATTTCTAAGCGAATGGGTCATTTTGCTTTGGATCAGGGACTAGCTAAGGGGAGATGGGCCCCAGTGGGTGTTAATTCCTAGCACAGAGAGCATTTGGATGGGGAAGTGAGACCCAGGTTGCTTTTAAGCACATTTTCATTTTCTCCCCTCCCTCCCCTTCCAAATTAGGGTGAAGGTTGCCGAACTGTCCCCCTGGCTGGACATGTGGGGTTCGACAGCTTGCCCGACCAGCTGGTGAATCAGTCAGTCAGCCAGGGCTTCTGCTTCAACATCCTGTGCGTGGGTGAGTATTTCCATAGCAGGAAATTCTATTACAGAATATGGATCCTTAATGGCTGGGTGTGGCTCTGCAGGTCATTAGGTTCAATAGTGTGTCATTCTGATCTATTTGCAGGAATTTTTCTGCCCCTCTTCTTCTTTTGTCCCTCTGCTTGTTTTGGTGAGCAGCTGGCTGTAGTTACATTTTTCCCTGCCCAGACCAGAATGCGGGGCCATACCTTGGGGGGAGCTGAGCTGCGTGACACCCAGTGGAAATTCTGTAAGGGAGCTGGCTGGCTCAGCTGCTCTTATCAGGTTTGTTCTGACTGCAGAAAATAGGAGCCAGGGCAGAATTGGGAGGGAGGTAATGGCTGTGGAAAGATGCCTGCTTACCAGCTGTGGGCAGTGGGTTGGGTCTGTCTGTTTCCTCTGCAGCCCTGCTGTGCTTGGTACAGTTTGAGCTCTGTGCAGGCACCACACAGCTGTGTGCCAAGTTCTTTTTATTCCCTTTAAGTGTATCTGTGCCTGGACCTTTAGTCTCAAGTGTGGGAACCATGTCTTAGTCACCTCTACTGTGCTAATTACAGCACAAAGAGAGTTCAATAATGTATGTGAAATGAACGCATGAATTATCCCCGCAGGAACCACTCACTACATTTCTCAAACACTTTCCCATGTTAACAGTTTGGGTCCTTACTAGGACTCTGGGAAGTGAACAGACCAAGTGGCATTCATATCCTCATGGAACAGACGGAGACCAAGAAACTCGGGCGGGGGGGATAAGGGACTTAGCTGAGGCAACACAGAATAAGTGGCAGAGCCATGACAGGGACCCAGGTCTGCCTGACCCTTTGTCCCTCCCACTGCTTTGGTAACCGCTGCCAGAGACATCTCTTGAGAATGCAGAGGCACTTTGGAAACTGTCAAGCACTAGTCAAGCAAGTCTCAGGAACAGCGGTTCCTTGACATTCTTTGAGAATCTCTCCTTAGACCTTAAATAATCCCAAATTTGCAAACACGATCACAGTGTAAAATTTTCACTATACAGTGCAGCAAGGCGTACCTGCATATTTTTAGTGACATACCTCCAAACCTTAATGATTCTATAAATACCATAATAATGGCAGTTTTCATGCCCGGTCGGAACACTCAAAACACTTTTGCTAATTGCCTTTTCCTGTTTTTGTACAGAGCATACGGGGAATTCATTCATACTGAGGGTGTGAACCACTACTGAATTGGATATTCTACTCTCTAATGTAGTCTAAAGTTCTGTTTTGTAACTAAGGTCATTCATTTTCTTGGACTCTGTTTTTTCTTCTCCCTCCCTGGCACTCCTCAGATCATTTTCTGTCGGAGAATTAGCTACACACTCGAGGACAAGTAGAGAAAACAAAGCCACTTCTAAGTATGGTTGACAGGCAGTCAGCTAGGCTCACTCACTAGTGAAATGACTCACTCTCACGCACCAGCTTTGGAACCTATGAGATGAAAATATGTGCTTCACGGATTTACATATCATGGGCCTGAGAGTCCAGATCTAGGCTGTTAATTCTTCAGATGCCAAAAGTCTACCCATGGTTACGATGAGGTGCTATTAGGAGAGGGATACAAAATAAACAGCAGTCATGGTGATCGACATCAAGATCGAATACCATCACGTCCAGTATTAGCACTGCCAGATCGCTCCCATCTTTGGCTGATGGCCAACTTATTTCACATAACATTTGATTACTGAAAACCTTCCACACAAACATATTGGAGTCCCTTGGCATTCCTCCCAGAGCTCCGGGTGACCTGCATTGAAGCTGAGGGGGTGAGAAGTGAAGTGACAGGCCCACCCCCATCAGCCTCTCAAACCACGTGCAATTGGGTGGGCTAGTAAAGCTTTAGGAGGGAGGCCGCATAGGTCAGGATGGGTCTCTGAGGGCGGCAGCGTAGGGTAGTTGGACATGTGGTCCACAGGCTCCCCTAGGGCCTGGAGGAAGAGGCAGCCAAGCTCAAGGCAAAGTGAGTGGAAGAAATATTTCTTTATTTCTTTATTATTTATTTTTATTTTTGGCTGCGTTGAGTCTCCGTTGCTGCGCGCGGACTTTCTCTAGTTGCCGCGAGCGGGAGCTACTCTTCATCGCGGTATGCAGGCTTCTCGTTGCGGTGGCGTCTCTTGTTGTGGAGCACGGGCTCTAGGTGTGCAGGCTTCAGTAGTTGCGGCTCGCAGGCTCAGTAGCTGTGGCTCGCGGGCTCAGTAGCTGTGGCGCATGGGCTTAGTTGCTCCGCGGCATGTGGGATCTTCCCGGACCAGGGGTGGAACCCGTGTCCCCTGCATTGGCAGGAGGATTCTTAACCACCGCACCACCAGGGAAGTCCCAAGTGGGAGAAACAGTAAACCCCTACCCACCCAGGCATCGTACATATGCAGCTGCTTCACTGTGCACCTGCAGGCATGGAATCGCTCAACTGCCCAGGACAGACCCTCCAAGAGGGGAAGGGTAGAAAGGAGACCCTCACACCCAAGGAGTCCCCTTCCCTTTCTCTCTCTACTTATGAAGTTTCAGGAAACGGCTGCTCTAATAGCTCCCCTCTTAGCCGTGCAGGTGCACCCCTTGCATGCACCCGCCCAGGCTGGTTAACTGCACTCCCCATCCCTGATCCAAAAAAGCCTGCAACTCATGCATCCCCCGCTCTGGCTGGGCTCAGAAGCCTGTCATTGCTCTGAGAACCCACAATTTGGGCCAAAGTCACAGGCGGCTTACGGTGGCTCTAAGGCTGCAATCTCAGCCCAGCCGTGGGACTGGGTAGCGTCACCGACGTGGCGAAGGATCCATAGCTTGGCTGCTGAAGGTGATCGTTTCTCTCGCAGGACCTTCAGCGACCATACTTTCATGCCTACTGCCTGTGCATAACGGTCAGCTTTACTCCCTTAACGACGATTATAAAACGGTTCTGTTTTGGGCATAGAATATGTTTCCCCAAAGGATTTTCTTTTCTTTTCCGATAGGGCATTTTAAGTGTAAAATTATGGTAACACTGGCTTTGGTTATTAACAGAGATCTAGAATATTTTTATCACCGTATTGTTTATTGTGGTGCTGGGCTGCCGATCAGAGGCCCCAGCCTAGCGGAGTGAGTACCCTCCGTGTGTAAGTGCGCATGTGCATGCTGGCATGGAGAGGGAGAATTTTTATGAATCAAGAGTGTAATTTATGCATAAGGGCACTGATGATGACACCTACGATCATTATTTTTAGAGGGCCAGGCACATGGGTGTGAGCATATTATGGCTCCTCTCCAACAGACGCTATGGTTGACAGTAATTACCGAGTGGGCTGAGGTCCCCCTCCTGTTCTAAAAAGTCTACTAGCCCACTCCCAGTCTACTAGCTTAGCTTTGGAAATCACTCGGATCCCAGGATTCTAGATATAGCACAGGAGGCGTTGGAGGAACGACTAGAGTCAGCAGTGCAAACGTTCTGCTGGGAAAGAGCCCCAAAGAGACTCAGCCCTCGGAACGTGCCAGCAACAGAGAATGCCTGACGAGCGCGAAGGGTCATAAGGCTAATATTTACTTTGAAACTGCTCAGGATTCCAGGCTCAACTAGGCTCTGTTGAACTTGGAAAAACAAAACATACAAGAGAAGCAGGATTGAGGCTCAGTGCAGGAGGAGGGGAAGGGCAGCTAGCATTCTCTCAGGGTTAGGGAGCGATGGTTTCTTCTCTCCATCTCTGGGAGAGGCAGCCGTCCACCTGTCTGAGACAGGCTGCCAGCGGTGGTGTGCTGGTCAGCGTCAAACCACCCACTCTCAGGAGAAAAGTTGCCGTGGTTTGTAGCATTTACCAATTTTTGTGCTGTCATTATTCCCACCATAGCTGGTTTTAAGCTGCCAACATGACATCACTGCACATGGGCTTGGGAAGAACTGCAGGAAGCCGGGCGAGCCGGCTCCAGCACACCCCTGTTTGCCAGGTCTCTGCAAGATCAGGAAGAAGTAGAGGGCAAGGTCACAGAGCCAGGCAGGACCTCGCCCCCATCCATAGGCTCCCTTGGCCAACAGGAGTTCCTGGAGAGTTCCCTTTTGGACACCTTCCGGTTGAACTCAGAGACGTTTCTCTTGGTTTATTCCAACGTTCGGAGCCGGAAGAGACTAGCTCCTGATCATTGCTGTATCCCTGGCTCCTAAACCTGCGCCTGGCTCCTATTAAAGGTTCTAAATATTTGTCGAATGACTGAATGAAACAACATATCACACCTATGGGACGCACTAGAACATGCATGGGCTCCAGTGTCAGACTGCCTGCGGTCAAATGCTGGCATTGCCACATACTACTTTTGTGACCCTGGGCCAGTTTCTTCCTCCACATTTTATAGATGAGGAACGTGACGTGCAGAGAGACTGAAGAGCAGGGGCACATTCACACAGCTAGGAAGTGGCTCGGTTAATCCACCTGTAAATTAAGGACAAATAGTAGTATTATCTAATACACAGTCTTATTTTAGGGAATAAATAAGGGAATATATGTAAGGTATTTACAGTGGTGCCCACGTAGTAAGTGCTCCAGGAGCAATAGCTGTTATTATTACTACTCAAACCTGCTCATTTTATGGAAAAAGAGACTAGAGTCCAGAGAAGGGGAAGGGCTAGGCTTAGGTCACAGTCATTTAGTGATAACCTGCCTGGGACTCTGCATTTCATCACTTGCAAGGACTTAATTGCACAAGGTACCAGAGGATGCAAATGTTAACAGCAGATGAGGAAAAGGGCTTAAGCTTTTCTTTGTCACAGTGGTTTTGAACTCCCGGTAGAGAGGTCAACATCAGACTAGCCCAGGGAGTATAGTTTGAAAAAGCAGATTTCATATTCCATGTTTTAAATTGAATTCTTTTTTAAAAAGCTGGTGTTTCCAGGATCCTATCTACATTAAGTCAAGTGAGAGGAAATCCTCTGGGCTGGTGGAGATAACTTAAAAAGGGTTAAGAAACCCCGCTGTACACTCTGAGGAGGGAGGAGGAGAGAGAAATTGACCCCTCGGGACTCCTCAGGTTTCCTGCTGGAATCTAATTGCCAAGTCCCTACCTTCCTGCAGGGGTGTGGAATCTGCTGACCTGATCTGAGTTGAGCCGAGAGTGGCTCCCCTCCCCCGCTCAGTACCGGGCCCAGGACAATATCCCAGGCTCAGGCTGGGTCTGTGGCAGCCATCCAGAGAGAGAACTCCCACCCCTCCCCGCCCCCGGGCTCCACATTGATGGAAAACTGGAACGGGACAAGCACACTTGATTTTCTGCCCTCTTCTCATGCTGCATTTATCACAATTCCCTAGACACCCGCCGGGTCTTTTCTTCCAGACACTCATCATTGAGCATCTAATTTCCACAGCCCTTTTGCACTGGCAGGCGTCCGGGTGGTCATTTTCTCCGTTGCCCTGCCCTGCCTGGCCCACCCGGCCTGCCTTTCTACAGCTGCGCAAACAGGGCGGGCCCTTCCCTCTGTGGTACTGCTCCTGAGGCCTCTGTGTGAGCCTCTTGCTAGGCGCTCCGGGGAGTACCAGAAGTTGCCCATTCCCTGCCCTCTGGGAAGTCTTAGGATCAGGGAGTCAGGGAGCCAGCTCTGGGTGCTGGGGAGTCAGGGCCCGCCACGATCTAGGAGCTGCGGGGCGTTCAGCAAAGAGCTCACAGAACGGGAGAGAGGGTCTGAAAGTGGGGATGTACATGGACACTGTATTAGGCACGGACAAAGACCGGCGAAAATGTAGCTTAAGCTTCAGCGCCCAGAGGGAAGGCGAGTTAGGGAGAGGCAGCCACCCTGTGTTCCCGTTTCAGAGGTGCCGGCCCCTTTGCAGTGGAGCGGCACCGCACCTTGGGCGGGGAGGGGGGCGATTTCTTCCGTTGCTTAGCCAAGTCTGCCACTTCCCATGGCAGCCAAGTCTGCCACTTCCCACCTCACCAAGTTTTTCTGGGGACCCAAATACTTCCTGTTCCTTTAGGGAGGGAGAAAAGGGCCTCTTCTGGGAGAGTCTTTGCTGCTAGTAGGTATAACAGGCCCTGGCTGGAAGCAGGATCTGTGTGAGGAACCATTTCCCTGCACCCTGGCAATCAACCACATTAGTCAGACCTGGCTATGAAATCGGGCTGGGGAGCCGGGTAGCCAGGCTGAGTTGAATGTTCTCCTTGTTTTCTCTCTCTCTCACACTGATCCCTCCACATACAGAAAGCTCTCAGCATAGACAGCTATTTTTAAAAGCACCTCCTGTATTCATAGCTCATTATTCCGGATAAAAGAGGTTTGCAAGATGCAAAGCTAGACACACCCAGAGGTGGGAGGGGAGATGGACCATTTACGGTTATGGGTTGTGCAGCTCGAACCCTAGCCCTGGACTGCCCTGCAGATATGTGCTGTCGGCCACAAGAGGGGACCTTCCAGGCCAGGATTTGCCCAGGGCAAACCCACTCCCCCCATTCCCAACTGGGAAGGTGTGCCAATTCCCACATCTAAAGGGTTGTGAGCAGGGAAAGGGAGAAGAGGGGTGATGGTAGCGGAACAGCAGGGTAGCCCGGGTCTTCAAAGCGCAGTCCTTGGTTCCTGGCAGTGACTTGACATCCTTTGCGTCTCTCAGGAATAACCTCCACAAACCTTCACCAGTCCCCGCAGCCCTTCCCCGACTCGTTGCCCTGGTGCGAAAGCCAGTGGTTTTGAAATTCCAGGGGTTTAATTCATTAGTATCCAGCAGCCTGTTAGTTAAACAAACAACTGACTGGCTTGTTTGAAATTTAAAGGGAAGAATAGCTTGCGGCCTGCTAAATTCCCTCTCCATTAGCTAAAAATGGTCTCCCCACTGGGATGCGTATGCGGGTGCTGTCTGGGCCTGGCTGGGAGAGGTGGGGACTGAGAGGAGAGGACACTTATTTGATGAGGGACTGCTGTCCCTTTCTTGTAAACTTGAAAATAGCCCTTAAATTTTTATTATGAAAGCTATACACGTTCCTTGTAGAAAACTTGGAAAATAGAGAAAAGCATAAAGAAAGAAGTGAAAAGCGCACATAACCCCACCACCCAGACATGACCGTTGGTAAGAGTACATTGTACGCCCTTCCAGTGTTTTTCTAGGGGTAACTCTACCTCGCCATCACTGCCTTTAACACCGTTTATTTTTCTGACTATAAAAACAATGCATACTCAATTTTCAAATAACACAAAAATATGAAGACTAAAAGAAAAATGACCCCAGTTCCACTGTCCTGAGATGACTACTGCTAATATGTTGGTGCCGTTCCTTATACTCTTTTCCACTTAAGTGAGATGAAATAGTCCATGTAGTTCTACGTGCTCCTCACTTAGTGTCTTACCGTGTACATTTTCCCATGTCAGTGAATATGCATCCAAAACATGTGTAATGGCTGCGTGGTCATTGTGTGAATGCATCATAATTCATTCTTTTGTTTTTCAGGAGAGACAGGTTTGGGCAAGTCCACCCTCATGGACACCCTGTTCAACACCAAGTTCGAGGGGGAGCCAGCCACCCACACACAGCCGGGTGTCCAGCTCCAGTCCAATACATATGACCTTCAAGAAAGCAACGTGGGGCTAAAGCTCACAATTGTTAGCACAGTGGGCTTCGGGGACCAGATCAACAAGGAGGACAGGTAAGGGAGGCGGTGGGGTGGGGAGGCTACTGGGAGGCCACGGGGAGGAGCTCACCACTGGGGTCCCGCTGGACCTCTCAGATGACGCAGGCAGGCAGCAGAGAGCTCACTAGCGCCGCCTCCGCCCAGGGTCCCCGTCTATTTCAGTGTTCTACTCCACACGCTTTGCCAAAAGCAGGCTGTTTTTCTATTCCATTCGACAGACATTTATTGAGCCAGGTACTGCCGTGCTCCAACAGTCTAAAAAGGAATGACCTTGTCTCTGCCCTTGAGGCAAAGACTCACGGGAAACCTGGTCTTAAACAAACAAGTTCCTTTGAGTGTGACCTGCTCTGTAAAGGACAGGGTACACAGAGGTAAAGGACAAGCTACAATGAGAACATGAAGGAGAGAACAGTCAGCTCCATGCAGGGAGGTCAGGGAGGCCTGCACAGAGGAGGTGCCCCTGAGCTGGCCTTTGAAGGGTGAACGATTTTGCTGGACAGACAAGGGAAGGTTGGGAACCCCATCCCGGGCAGGGACAGCTGCTTGTACAGAGGCAGAGGGATGTGGAAGACTGTGGCATGTTCTAGGGGACTGAGCTTGCTCTGTTTGGCTAGACCAGGGGTAGAGTTACTGTGAAGCTAGTGAAGCTTGTTTCAGGGCCCTCAGTTGCTCACGCACCTCCAAAGCCCTGGAACTAATTTCTAGTCATTGTGTTGTTTGATCTTTCTTGGAGGGCCCTTCAAATCGTGTAAACCTAGGGCCCCGCAATGCCTGCTGTGCCCCTGGGCCGGTGCTTGGCGTGAGCTGGGGGAAAAGTGAGGGGAGATGAGCCTGAAGAGGTAAGCAGCGACCAGATCATGGAGGGGTTTGTAGAATGTGTGGATAAGGAGCCACTGAAAAGCTTTATGAAGTAGAACGATGTAGTCGAATTGGCCTTTGAAGAGGGGGCTTTGGGATAGTATGGGATGGGCTGGAGAGCAGAAAGACCAATTAGGAGACTGTTGGACCAATTTGATCGAGGCCAGCGATGACACAGGTGCTGAGACAGGGAAGAGGAGACAGATTTGATAACTACTGAGTAGGTAGACTCAACAGGACTTGGGGGTTGGGAGGGCAAAAGAAGAACCTAGAATGAGGCTTGGATTTCTGGCTTTGGAGGGTGGACAGATGGTTGGCAGCATTCAGTAAGAGTTGCCATAAGAACCAGGTTTAAGAAGAATCAGCTCTGTTTAGGAAGTGTTGAGTTTGAGCTGCCTGCGGACCATAGAGGATAGGCAGCTGAATATGCAGGGTTAGAGGTCAGGAGAGGGTCTGCGCTGTAAACAGACTTGGGTTATCAAGGTATAGGTGATATGTTCCAGCCACAGACACACGTAAGATCATCCAAGGATTGGAGCCGAGTGAGATGAACGCTGGGCTAAAGATAAAAACCTGAGGATGTTAAGTCAGCAGATGGAGGAAAAGACATCCTGGAAAGAGACCGAGCTGGAATAAGCAGAGAGGTAGGAGGAGAGACTGTGGGTGGTTGAGAATGGTGTGCCAGTGAGGGCTGGAGTGAGGCTCAGATGAGGACGAGATGAGGGCTGGGTTGAGGGAGGGGGAGGGCGTCAGGCACCGTCTGCATTTAACTAAAAGTCACATGGTTATCACAGGTGCTCTTCACAGAAAAAGTCATTCATCATTTTGAGCAGTGCTCATCCTTTGAGGATTCCCTTGCTTCTCAGATGAACTGTATCCCAAATTCTTCTATTTCTCCCTTAAAATAACAACAGCCATACTCATTTCCTTATAATGAGTAAATATATTTAGCTCCTTAATAATTGAACTGAATTCTGTTTTCCATTTGAAATTCTAGACGAAGGACACCTCTGCTTTGTATAGGTCTGCTTATTGTGCTAATCTTGTTTGGTGGAGAATAAATTAAACCCTGGGGAAAGGGGATATTTGGGTCACAATATGAGTGATTAATCTCAGCTGCAGATGGCTCAGCATCTCGTCCATTAAATTTTTCACAGTTCTCAGTAACATATAGTCGACATATCTAACATTGGAAAACACCTGCATAATGATTTTTTGGGAGGGCCAAACTGATAGAGCCCCTTAGAGGCTAATCTACTTCTCTTGCCCCTTAGAGGCTAACCTACTTCTCTTATATTTTTAATATCCTTACTGTTTTTCCCGATTATAAATGTGATACGTGCTTATATCAAATAATACAAACTCGCATAAGTAAAAATGAGAAGCCTCCGGGAAATGGACTGAGGAACAGAAGTGGAGTAAGCTCCAGGGATTTGTAATAAAAAGCTGTGTTTTCTCCATTCTGACAGGGCCATGAGGACATAGATAGGTCAGTGCAGCTGCACTGAAAAAGAGCATCAGAAGGCCCTGCTTTACCCAGGGTGCAGGGGCAAACTGAGAAGAGCAGTGACGAAGGCCATATCGTGAAGGGCACCATTTGAAAGCTGCTGAAGCAAAAGGAACTCAAGAGGGAGACAGAGGACAGGCTGGAAAGGGGTGTGCTTACGAACTCAGGCTTTGGTCTCAGACAGACCTGGGTTCAAATCCCATCCTGCTACTTATTAGCTCAGGGATCTTGGACAAGCGTTTTGTGCTGGTCTCGGCCTATCCATAACCAATGTTGCGGCTGGACCGGCCCTTGTGGTTCTTATTATGATTGCAAGACGCCCTCAGTAATAACCGTCAGGAAACTTGGAGGGGAAAAAAGGGTTTATTACTCACAGGTTCTGGAAAGGACAAGGCACACCCAGGGCTACACAGCGAGGTCGAGGGTAGAGAAAGAGAGAGAGAGCACCTGGGCTTGGGGTTCTGCTTTCATAGGGATCGAGGGTAGGCGGCCTGTGGTTTTGCGGGCTTACTCTTTATTGGTGAATGTAAAACATAAGAGCGGGAATTTAACACGTGGGGAGAGAAAAAAACAAGTGGCCTAAATGGTCAGTTATAGAAATCCACCAATATCTTTAAAACAAGGACGCCTGGGGTGGGGGGGTGGACGGGGCTGGTTCCTTATCTTTCTGTGGCTGGCAGTGTGTTTATTCGTGATAGCTGTCCTTGAAGTAGGTGCCTTTTTGAAGTGGATGCCTCCGAAATCAAAGCTTAAATCAGACACTTGGGTTACAAAAATGCAAGTTACAACTGTCAGGGCTTACACTACAACTAGGCACTTAAATTCTTTATGCCTCAGTTTCCTGTGAAGTGGGGATGGTGATAATACTGATATCTACCCAGAGGGTCATGGGTGAGGCATACTCCACGTGTATGGCATAGGAAACGCTTAAACAGTGCCTGGCACGGGGTAACTAACGAATAGAAGATACTGTTATGATCGTGACTTTTATTGGTAGAAGAATCAAGGGAGAGTTGTATTATGTAGCATATGTGAGGGAATGATAAATAGTGTCTGGAGAGATAAAAACTGAAAAATATCCATTGGGTTTGGCAACATGAAGGTCATTAATACACTTAGGAATAATAATTCCAGGGAAATCGTGGGTAGAAACTAGATTGCCATGAGTGAATGGGAGGTAAGGAAGTAAAGGCATCAGAATAGCAAAAGGAGGGACTTCCCTGGTGGCACAGTGGTTAAGAATCCACCTGCCAGTGTGGGGGACAGGGATTCGAGCTCTGGTCCGGGAAGATACCGCATGGCATGGAGCAACTAAGCCTGTGTGCCACAACTACTGGGCCTGCGCTCTAGAGCCGGAGAGCCACAACTACTGAGCCCTCGTGCCACAACGATTGAAGCCTGTGCACCTAGAGCCCGTGCTCCACAACAAGAGAAGCCACCACAATAAGAAGCCCGTGCACCACAACGAATAGGAGCCCCCGCTCGCCACAACTAGAGAAAGCCTGTGCACAGCAACGAAGACCCAATGCAGCCAAAAATAAATAAATAAATTTATTTATTTATTAAAAAAAAAAGAATAGCAAACGGAACAGTTGAACAGAAAAATGAGTCCAAGATCAAATTCATGTTTCTATGGGCATTTAGCATTTGTAAGTTAGCAAGGAAAGAATGGACTATTCAAGAAAATGTGGGCTTCCCTGGTGGCGCAGTGGTTGAGAGTCTGCCTTCCGATGCAGGGGTCACGGGTTCGTGCCCCGGTCCGGGAAGATCCCACATGCGGCGGAGCGGCTGTGCCCGTGAGCCATGGCCGCTGAGCCTGCGCGTCCGGAGCCTGTGCTCCGCAACGGGAGAGGCTACAACAGTGAGATGCCCGCGTAACACAAAAAAAACAAAACAAAACAAAAAGAAAATGTGCTGGGAAAATAGGCCATCCGTTAGGAAAACATAAGATGAGACCATCCCACACAAACACCATTCACAAAAATAGATTCCAGTTGGATTAAAAACAACTTCTAAAAATATGAGGAAAAAATATAAGAGAATATTTTTATAACTTTGGGGGTAGAGAAGGCTTTTTTTAAAACATCTTTATTGGAGTGTAATTGCTTTACAATGGTGTGTTAGTTTCTGCTTTATAACCAAGTGAATCAGTTATACATATATATATATTCCCATATTTCTTCCCTCTTGCATCTCCCTCCCTCTCACCCTCCCTATCCCACCTCTCTAGGTGGTCACAAAGCACCGAGCTGATCTCCCTGTGCTATGCGGCTGCTTCCGACTAGCTATCTGTTTTACGTTTGGTAGTGTATATATGTCCATGCCTCTCTCTCGCCCTGTCACAGCTCACCCTTCCCCCTCCCCATATCCTCAAGTCCGTTCTCTAGTAGGTCTATGTCTTTATTCCTGTCTTACCCCTAGGTTCTTCATGACATTTGTTTTTTTTTCTTAAATTCCATATATATGTGTTAGCATATGGTATTTGTCTTTCTCTTTCTGACTTACTTCACTCTGTATGACAGACTCTAGGTCTATCCACCTCATTACAAATAGCTGAATTTCGTTTCTTTTTATGGCTGAGTAATATTCCATTGTATATATGTGCCACATCTTCTTTATCCATTCATCTGTTGATGGACAGTTAGGTTGC